GCTTCGATCACTCATACCCACATGCATACTACCCACACCCACACCCATTGAACGCAAGTGGCTATGGATATTTTGATTGTAATATTCAAGATAAAGAAACATTATGTTAAGTAAAACAACTTCTTTACATAGAGAAACATTTTTATGATTTCTAAAGAGCCATGGTTAATTTTTATTTTTTGTGAAGCACATTTCTAAGTTTATGACTTTTTTACCATATGGGTTAGAGGGAGTTAATCATAAACCGTTTTGTCGAGCGTGTTTTACTGCATTTTTCTATGATAGAAAGAAATTTTCAAGTCCATGTTTTAACATAGGAAAATTTATTATACAAATTGAGTCAGGACTTCTGGCCCACCATTTATATGTTATCATAAGAGGGTTAAGTGGATGCATTGATCAGCAGCGACAGTCGAAGTTTTACAATAAATTTTCTCAAAAAAATTTTCTTGATTTCGTGAAATTTAGAAATTAAGAAAAAGAAAATGATGATACAGTACTGATTTGGAGCATCGAAAATTTTTCAAAATGAAGTATCTATTTTTATGTAGTGTTGGATCTGTGAATCGGTTTACACTTCTGATTGTTGTCACTTCGTACGAAAAGAAAAACTTTATTAAAGCGGATATATATGTTAAATGGAAAATATCAAATGCAATAAAAAACGATAAAAACGCTTACGATACAAAAAAGCATCATAGAAAACAGAACACAGGATAAAAAAAATGTACGGTTGCACAAAATGAGTAAAAAATAAATACTCTATGTCCATATTATCAATGGAGCTATGCCTAAAAGAAAAAAAGAAATGAAATAACAGATTTTTTCATGGCAAAACAAGGGTGTTTTAGTGATCGGTTAGAAGAAAAATCTTTTTTTTTCCTCCCTTTCTCTTTATATGAAAAAAAGTCGTAACATGTATCCGATAATAATCGTTCGAAATCATTATTGATAATGAAACGAATAATTCTTACCTTCGGGGGTTGTCCAACTAGGTAAATAGTTTTCTTCATCAAGAAAATACAGTGGATATTCGACAATAAAACCTTGAATACCTTTTAATTTTTGTTGCGCCTGCAAAACAAAATAAAAGCATTATTCAAAAAAAAAGTCTATCAAATATATATATATTCGTATATATACTTCTATTGGATCAGTATCTTTCATCTTAGGCATGCCATTATATGCATTAACTTGTGCAAATGTTCTAGCACGATTAGTTGGCATTGTAGAAAAAACTTCTTCATAAATGAGTGTATTATTTTTTGCTACATTTTGAAAATAAGAATAAAATTCATCTGATACTGGATCAGCTATATCAATATTATTTGGATTTTCGAATTGAATACCTAATAACATCCTAGAAAATAACAATAGTTTTCTATGAAAATTATTATAATTTTAGATTTAAAACATACTCAAAGATCTTTTTACGCCAACTAGAACAAAATTTTCCTACACGAACTGATTGTCCATTAAATCGACCATCTTCTTCTTCAATATCATTTATTACAATACAAAATTCACTATCACGGTTACCAACTAATGAACGATCATTTATATTTGCACTACCACATATAGCCATACGATCATCGATGATCATTAATTTTGAATGAACATATATTATTTCAGTTACCTAGAACAAGACAAAGAATATTTGAATTGTATCAATAATAAAATATTTTACTTACTAGACGACCCATTAGAATGTCATGATTACGCATAGCAAAAAAACTAATATAATCGTTTGGTGTAATACCTAAATATCAAAAAATCACAGTTGAATGAGATTTATATACATTTCAGTTATAGATTGATTTTTAATATATTCAAAATCGATTCAAGAAAATAAAAATTGCATTTTTATCTTCTTCTTAACATTTTATAAAGTATCGCATTGCATTATATCAACTACAAGAAAATGTTCACTATCATCATTCGACTGAGTAGATATTATGGAATATCTTTATGCATATCAGAAACGCATACAACATATAACAAAAGCTTACTCATACCATCTCTAATCTTCATTATTATATCAATAAATGATGTTTTTGTCTCGAGAATTCTTTTTTTCGTATAACACTAAATATATGCTAATATAAGCTCTGTTTTTTGATCAAGTTACAAGAGGAATTATCAGTTGTGTGAAGACGTTTATACTTTGAAAGTCATTAACGATCATAATCGTTGGACTTAGACTCGATCTTATCAAACAAGTATTTTTTTTTGGAAGTAATTAAAAACATAGAAAAGGCTGATTAAAATATGAAACACGATGTAGCTAATATTGATATACACATAAAACTTACGTTATTCGATCCATTTTAGAACAAATTTCTTCATCATCGTTTACAGAATCCTGTGCAACTGCTTTTAAGGAGTAGTTCATAGGTTCTCACAGAATCTTAGTGATATAAGGTCTATGATAGTCTTCGTAGACTGTCTGTCACGATTTGTGATTGGTCATTAGTGAATTACTAACGAAATATTAATAATAGAGTAGGTAACTATCTAATTCTTTAATTGGTTAGTTAATTAGTTGATTTCTCTATAACGGTCTATAGAAAGGGAAGAGTGAGTTCAACATTCTTTTCAGATCGTATTTCACAAAACACTCGAAGCAGCTTTAAATTAAAATACGTAAAGAAGACCGTAAATTGACGGATTTCGTCATCAATTGGCTGAGGGTAAGTGTCGATATATTTTTAAAGAATTTTTTTTTTCTATTCTTGAAGTCTTTAATCATTATTACAATTAATTAACACATTCAGCCCGATTCAGTTTTATTACAGAATAGCTCTAACAGATTCATTTTTGTGTGTATTCATTGTCCTTTTCATTCTATGCTGGCTCATTGTTTTCTCTTTTCTAATTGCTATTATCACATGGACAGTTATATCTATGCATTACATACTGTTTTTTACCAACATGACGTATTGGATTTTCCCAGTATGTTATCACATGTTCTATATTGGACTTTTCCTAATAATATCTATTTGTTTACGTCATACTTGGTATTCTCCAACGTGCTTATAGTTAATCAAGTAGAAAGATAAAAGAGATGTTTTGATGATATCTACAAGACCATCGCATTCAGCAATTGTGGTGGACACTGGAAGAAAACAATATTCGAAACAAGCCTATTATGAAGCCACAACTTGTACTAGATTATAACGATGGAAGACACAAAGTAGTGATTTGTCAGATCAACTATCAACATACTATACATGTCTCAAACAGTCTATAAAATGGTATAAAAAGGTAGCATTTGAATTAGTATTTGAAACCGCAGCAGTTAATAGTTATTTAATTTACAAGGAAAATTATGCTGCAAGCGACATGACCATTCTGCAGTTTCAAAGAAGCTGAAACCAGATTCGAGACAACAATCAGCAAGCCGTTCGAAGCGCAGACTCGCTGATTACAAGCTCGAAGAAAAGGAAGGATTTGCGTGCAATGTTTGAAGGCGCTGTGCTGACTGTAACAATTTTTTTTGTCTTGATTGTTTTAACGAGAAGCATCATGCTATGGAATAAATAACTCAAAAAATACTGAAGACAGAGCAGGTGACACATTATGTGTAACCGCCTGCCTAAGTAAAAGGTGACAGAAAGCGGCTTTCTATATAGTTTCTTCTTAAAATATAATGTGACCCACCTTACCTGCTTTTTCAAGTCTTTTAAATAATGAATCGTCACCCTTAATAATCGAACGCATAATAAAATAGAGAACAGCTTGTATAGCTTTCATGTTATCAAAACCAGGTAAAAGAGGAAGGACAACATAAATACGAAATTTTTCATTGTTTCTAATCAATAAAACAAAACGTTTTAAAATGTTATATAATAAAAACAAAAAATATTTCATACTTATGTGCTCGTTCTATACGTCGAAAAAGTACATCACCTAATTGGTTTCGAACTACTGAATTTTGAGCAATAGTAATGAAGAATTGATTCTAAATACGAAATAATAATTAAAAATAGTATGTTTATTTTTTCAATTAATTTACTTCAATATATATATAATGTTTAGCAGCATCAATCATTTGTATATAAGTATTTTGAATTGATGATTCCACTGTTTTTGTTCTCACTGACCATGGTCCAACGGAACGAACACACTAAATGCAAAATTCAAATGAAAAATAATTTTTAAAATAAAATAATAACTTACCTGAGCATTTACACGAAATGGTTCACTTTCAAGAAAATCTTTCCAATTTTCAACAGGTAAGTCGTTGATATCATCATAAGATTTGGGTAGTAGAAATGGATAAAAATCTTTTTTCGGATATTTTTCATACTTAACAAAGTCAAAATTTAAAAATCATTTTCAGCGAATGGATTTATAATCAAACCGATTGATTACTATCTGAATTGGTAATCAGATCAGAAAGTTATCAACAGACGACTAGAGTGTGGATGTCAGTTCTGCATGCGCAATTCAGTTGTAGTCTCATCCACATTTCATCTAAACCATTGTCTATACGCTCAAGAAAATATACAAATTATAATCAAAGGTGCTCCGAGGTTGTCAAGCTTGCGCGTAGAGTCAAGCAATTCAACGAATAAAACGCGAGAATTTTTCAAACGGTAGCTGTCTGGGTAAAAATTCAGACATAGAAAGCCAACGCTAGAACGAATGATCGTAGGAAAAAATTTGCAATATATTTTTTTGTTAAAAAAAAAAAAGAAGTGCTAGCCAATGAAAATCTACTCTCATATCTTTAATAATGTGATATTGCGGAGTGTGCCTGTTGCATTGTACGTTACTGCGAGTGTCTCGATATAGATTTGGGTCACACGAAAAACATATTTCAACCTTTTATCTATGCGATGATCTATTCATCTATTGGTATCTGTTTTTGACCAAGTAGAAGAATTAACCCTTTGAGTTCGAGATTATTTTTATATAGTAAAAAGGACGAGAGAGGTTGGTAGGCAAGTTAGCCCTGTAAAACTTTTTTTTTGATTCGAAATCACAACTATACTGTACCAAACGAAAGAGTTTCGTGAGTTGAACATTTTTTGTGACGAAACCTGACCTTTTAAATAAAACCATGGAGAGTTCTGAGCAAGACAACGACTAAAAATGACTGAAATTTTATAATTTAGCTTATTGAAAATTCTTCATGGTTTCATTTAAAAGACCAAGTTCCATCACAAAAAATACTTAACTCACTAAACTCTTTCGTTTGGTATAATATAGTTGAGGTTTCGAATCCAAAACTTATTGTAGGGCTGATTCGCCTATCAACCTACTCGCGTCCTTTATACTATATAAAAATAATCTCGCATTCAAAAGGTTAAAAGTCAACCAGTAATCATCAGTAATTATAGATAACCCTAACTGCACAAATATCCTAAATACAAATATTCATGCAATTTATATCATTAAATAACTAAAACACCGTGTTTTTTAATGGTATTCAGCGCGCAAAATCCTAGGATGAACATGTTCGCCGCCCGGACCCAATGGATTAACCAAATTAGTTACTAACTCTGATGGTAATAAACAAATGAATTATAGTCTTCGGTTATGAGCTCATTTAGTGAAAATGAAGTAAACTGTTTTTCTTAACTAACTTTATGAATATTCCATCGTTGAATAAAATGTCTTGCAGCATCTCGAGCTGTTTGACCAAATACAACTAATGCTTCATCATGCCATGGCATACGAGGTACTAATTTTCGATCAATATAGTCTACGTTAGAATTTCGATATGAATGAGCAAAACAAATGAAAAAAAAGAACAAAGAGCGAATTACCTGTACTGTAGTCATCAAGTTTTTCAAAATCTTTTCTATACGCATTTGAATAATCTTTTCCAATAAAATATCGATGTTTTCTATTAATTTCAGATGTTGAAGTAATAGTAAATGATTGTTGTTCTTCGAGAATTTTCTCATCATCAGAATCTTCACTGTTTTGTAAAAGATGATCTAAAAGAAATATTGAAGTATATAGGATAGAATTAAGCGATTCTCTTATTAATATTTTGTTAGTAAATCATTAATGATTCATCACAGGTATTTTCATACATGATAAGCGATTATATATAACTTAAACCTCATGAGAATATATCATACTCATCTTAACAATGAATTTTCTTTATACTAGACGATATTTGAAAAAAAAAACAAACCTTTATTTTGAATTTCGAATACAATAGACTTCGATCATTTATGCAATATATAAAAAAGAAAGAGAAGTCAATTAGGTATTGTTGATAAGAAGACTCGCTCTATATACATTAATATATAATAAGGCAAAAACTGAAACTACATGAAAACTTTTTTTTTTATATAGGGACTATTTTTCGTCTCCATCAAAGGTTTAATATCAATAAAGTCATTTTAGGTGCCCCGTTCCCTGCAAAAACAAATTCAATTATCATCAGTGAATAAATATAATAGAAACACGTCTGAGATCTGGTATTTTTGCAATACATATAATTTTTAATTTGGTATCTTGTTTTTCTTTTGAAAAATCTTTGATGACTTTCATCAATATGATGTTATATTTTAGAATTCTCGAAGAAGCTTTGTTTTAGTTTATTACTTTTGTTTTATTTGTAACAGGATATATTTTTTCAAATTATAAGATATCTCAAATGAGTATGCACAGAAAGTTTTAAATTTGTCAAATGACTGTTTTTTTTCATCCTTAATTTTAGAATATTTGCAGAATAATACATCTTGGTATAGACGTGAATTTTTTAAACATGGTTTCTCCACTATATCTCTAACATATCTTGAGGTCAATTTTTGATGGAGGGAGCAAGAGATTGAAGTCAGAAATAAAAAGAGCATGAAATTCTCATTTTATATGATTATTTAAAATTATTTCTAATGATACATAGAAATAAACAAAGATTGATCAAAAATGATATTCATTAGAAGCATTGCGCAAGCAAGATTTAGTACGAGCAGAAATAACATGATTAAATGTTAGCAATATTAACTTTATAATAATATCAATACAGTACCTTCTATGTGTTTTTTATAGGTGTTTAATAATAAATATTTCAAATACGTAGAATATTCATCATCATCATTGTTCAATTGAAGATCGTTTTTATTTTCATTTTCTTCTATTTAAATGATGAAAGTTTTATAAAATAACAAACAAAGATACCAGAACGAATAATAGTTACCAGGGAACCGCCCGAGGTGTCCAACGCCGATTCCCTTCATTCATAGATCGTTTGATAGAGGGCATCGAGATAGTAAAAAGTCTAAAAGGATTTGTGCTGATGGTTCTTTCTTGACAAGTTAGATTACAATTCAGTCAAGCAAGATTGTATACACTTGAAATTTTCAAATAGATACTGCTGATCAATCTAAAAATTTTTGGATTGTTTGGTTGTTTCGTTCCTGACTTACAAGATTTTTGCTTCACATGAAAAAGTACACATCTACAGTTGACTATAGTGCTGTCTTTTATTCGTTTTTAGATAATTATGGCTTGTCTGTTTTCATTTCCATCCTTTGTTAAATGGTTTTTAACATTTGATGATAGGTAATATATGATATTATTTAACTGTCTTTGTTTGCTTTTAGACTTTTTACTATCTCGATGCCCTCTATCAAACGACCTATGAATGAAGGAAATCGGTGTTGGACACCTCGGACGGTTCCCTCGTTAGTAAAATTTAGATTAAATAAAAATGAAACAGTTTATTATATTGTTTTACAATTAGAAATGGAGTTTTGTTAAACATCATAACAAACGAATGAAATCAATTGAAAGTTATATTATCAAAAATGAATTCATCAATCTTATTATGTATAATATTATACACTCATCCGTATACACACACTAAGCAATAATTTTATTTAGAACGATCTTCTTCTGACATGTAAATATTATTAGTTCCTGATTTTCCTTCCTAATAAATAAAAAAAATGATATTTATTCCTACCTATCAACGTTGGTCGCATCCCTTTTATAATAAGATAAAAACAAGAATAATGAACAAGTTTTGAAAACAAACACAATGAAATTATTTACTATTTTGAACTATTGATTTGATATTGTATGGTATTCCATATGCATTAGTTGTATCAGAAAGCGCAATTTCTTCATTTATCTCATTTAGAGGATTGAATGCTGCTCTCAGAAAATTCGAACTCTAGAATAGACTCATACTTATTGTATGTAAAGTCAAACCAAAAAGAAGAGATGATGTCTCTTTTTCTTCATCGATAGATAGTTCACACTTCATATTATTTTATATATCCCGATTTTACGATACATTCAGAGAATGATTCTTCTGTTTTATTTTTTATACAAAAGCATTCACTTTTCCTCCATTAGCATGTTTTTTGCTCGAGAAAAGTTTTTTTTTACAATATAACCTCCTTTTAAACCAATACGATCAAAGATATCACAATAACACTTGACATCAGAAGGTTACATTGTAAAAAAGCAAACTTTTCTCGAGCAAAAAACATGCTAATGGAGGAAAAGTGAATGCTTTTGTATAAAAACAAAACAGAAGAATTTTTCTCTGAATGTATCGAAAAATCGGGATATATAAAATAATATGAAGCGCGAACTATCTACTGACGAAAAAAAGAGAAATTTTATCTCTACTTTTTGACTTGCCTCTAAATGATGATTAGTTGTTTTTCTTCTCGGTTTTTATTACCTTAATCGGTATTTCACCAGCTTGTTCAGCCATTTGCGTAGTAGTTATTTGTGCTGCTTCTACCGTTTCTATGCCACCCGACGCTATATTTTCTGCAGCTATATCAAGTGACGATTTCAATGTTGTATCATTTTCATCGCCCAAATCGACAAGACTGAAAATTAAAAAAAAAACGCAATTTTACATGAAATATTATGTGAAAGCGATAGTTCATTTAGATTTATTCAGTTTCAACTTCGTACTAGAATGGCTCATACAACACAGTGTTGATACAGCTCGTATTTGACTTTTATAGAGAATCCTGATATCGGTTCAATAGTAAATACCGCTGTCAATGTAATTAATGTCCCAACAAATTCTTTGCAATAACTCATTGTTCATTATTTAGTACCAATATTGGACCTTCAAAGATCAGAGTCCTACACGATAAGACTTCTCGTGCTCTATATTAGACATCTAATATAAGACAGTAACTCACCGCATATATTCATTATCCCATCGACCATAACTTAAATCAATTCCCCCGACGAAGGCAATCTTTTGATCAATAATAAGCATTTTTTCATGATGAGACCATAAAAGTATTCCATTCTTAGTATTAATATCTGGATGTCGAATAACCTTAGAAATTAAAACAAATGAATTATTTATGTTATTTTTAATCAAAATATTAAACTGACTTTAATAAATCCATTTTTACTTTTAGAAACTAATGTTTTTTTTGTATATAAACTATTTAAAGATAAAGCATATGGAATTTCTTTATAAATCATCACATAAACACGAACTCCTAAATCCTATAATTAACAAATAAGAATTATTATTAACAAATACGAATAATAAAATAAATCAAACTCTTACAGCTATTCTTCCTAATATATTATCAAGTCGAAATGTTTCATCATCTGTTGGTCTTATTAACATGAGTTGAGGTGAAAGCCACCAATCAGTAATAAACACTTCTTCTTTAGCTGTTAAAAGTGCTTTAGCAACGGCTTCCATATATGATTTACCATTAATAAACCTATATTAAATATATCTATATTAATACAAGATCATTTGATTATTTTTACCAATAAGCTAATTGATTTTCTCGAACAGGTGCATATGAATTAAATCGACTTCGTGTTATACTAGAAAAATCTTTTGTTTGTTCAATTAAATTTGATAAATGTTGCATCCAATCATCACAATCACGTGCTGTTCGACATTTAACAACAAATGTTCGTTGTAAATTACTTATTTTAATACCAGTATTACAAATACCAGTTAAAATTTGAAAACCACGATCAACTAACATAGGAAAACGTAGTTCATGTGTATCTGGTCGTATATTAACTATATAAGTATCTTTAATAATAAACCATCTAGATATGTTAAAAATGACAAAAAATATAATTCATAAGAAAAAAAGATTCATACTTAGGACCATGTTGACATTTACATGAATCACAAAAAAATGATGAAAAGAGATTATGTTGACCAGAACAACGATCATTAGATTGTTTTAATAGATAACCTTCTTTTCGACTAGCAGATAAACCATGAATAAATGATAGATAACTTACATCGAAAAATTCACACTAAAAACAAATTAAAATAATATAATATGATGTTATGAGAAAATTAACTGACATTTTTTTTTGTTGAATTTTTAGTTGCATAAAGAATTTTTTGTCATAGAATGATGGATTCATAACTGAATCAAAGAAAATTTACTTTTATATGTAAATTTTTATTCTAAGTAACCAAGTCAGATGGTTACGAACAAATGATACGGATGTTCTTAAATTTTTACTTACACCTTATCTTCTCTCTCTACAAATCTCCGTCATATGCCTTCGAAGTAAAATTTAAATGACACAAATGAAATCTTCAATCAGCGAAAAATCATTGTTGACAAAGACAATTTTTTTGCAAACATGGACTCAATCATTAGCAAGAAATTTCTCATAAGCATTAAATATTTGATTAATCCTATATGTTAAAATTAGTAAAAATCCTTACCGTTGCTGGATGTGCACGAAATTTAGGATGTCTAAGAACTTTATTGAGATAATCGACAAGAATACGCTATGCAAAAAAGAAACAAATTAATAAGAAAGAAAAAAAAAAGAAGCAAAGTTCATTGTATAATTTACAGAATATTCTTCAAGATTAAAATCATTAACAAATCCTGTTTGATTATTTCTCATTGGAAAGAATGGATATTCATTATTTTCACCTTGAGTTCTAAAAAAAAGAAATATTTGATTCACATTATTTGAATTAATGTTATAATAAACAACAAATATTTTAAGGGCGAGTTCGTTGTGAAACGAATGTAACCGATTCATTTGGTATTATATCGAATGACAATAGTTGTTAGAAAAATATCAATTATTTTTAGGCTACAACTCGAAGGCTTATTCAAATGAGCTTTGTTGAGTCAGATTCGAATGCGGAATGCAATTCGAAAACTGTCGGATTCATTTTTCTTGACACGATCTATCGCTCTCTATGCACTTTTCATGACTGATGTAAAATCAATCTGTAATGAAGCGATCGGTTTATAGATATTATCTTTAAATAGTCTAAAATTGTTCAAACAGTTCTTAAATAATTTCATAACTTGTTGTTCTATTATAAAAATAGAGACAAAAGAATTAAGACAAAGATAGATTATTGTACTTGTATACTTCAAATTAAACTCAAAAACTTTCGGCTATAATATCGGAGAAAGTAGATATTTGGTTATAGATAAACCACACCCTTCTCTCGATTATTATTATTGTAATCATTGATGTTATTTGATATATACATATAGGTAATGTTTAATATGTATCTGCATGTATGTGTTTAAGAAATCGAAAAAATAAATTAGACTTTTCTATCTATAATACCTAGTGAGTTGGAAGTCTGGTCCATCCTCAACATCGGATCTACTGTGAGGTATCCGACTGCATCAGAGGATATTATCGAATCTTTTTCTATGAAAAAGAGATTTAAAGTTTTCTAATTATTTCATTTCATACATACATGTCTAAAACATTTTGTGATTTTTTTCCTTTCTTCATCTACGAAATTCATCAATACTTGATGTAAATTTTGAAAATGTCGATAATGTTTATAAATAGTCCATTCATTAGATCCATGCTGAATTGTTATACAGAATCTTTAAATAATTAAATTTATCATTTTGACAAGTTTAAGTGTTATTTAGTTAAACCTACAAATATGGATCAATAAATACCACAGAATAGTCACTCCTATGTTCAGTCACAATTGATTTAACATGAACTGGAACATTAGGAACAAATGCATATCCAGTACGACGATATATATGTTCGATAGTAAATTTGTTATCTAAGTAATAACAAAGAACTGAAATAGATAGAAATATATATATATGTATACAAACCTCGTTGAAAACGATCATCAACAATTTCTTGAAAATTATCGTCAGGATATGGTAGATATTTCGTATAGTTTTGATTTACATAATCAATAGATTGTTGAGTTATCTCAGGTCTGCCATGAGTCAGAACAATCATAAGACCAAATTCATTATAGTTTGCCATCTAAAATATTTTTCACCCACGTTCAACAATCAACAAAGTAAATAAAAAGAAAAAAAACAAACAGATAAAAAATGAGAAAGAAGAAAAGAATGCAGCTTCACCTTTTATTTTTGATGAATAGAACGATAATCGAGAGAAACAAAAAAATCAACGAAATGTGCCCATTAAAATAAGAGAGTAAGTAGATATAATAAAGGAGAAAAACGTGCTCTAACGAAATGAAAAAGAAAAGGAAAAAATGAATGGAAAATATTTTAGATTTATGGAGTTTTTTTTTGTTCATCGAAAAGTTTATTGTGGAATAAGCATTTGAAAAAAAAAACGGCAAAAGAAGTATAATGAATGGAAGGCTTTTTTATCAATATATACATAAGAATTTTGACGGTAAAACATCCTTGAACAGTCTTGATGACATTAAAGATAATTACTAGGTAAAAAAAACCACCAGAGTGCTTACACAAGAATATAGAAATGTTATTTAGACTGACCGAAAAAAGTCCATAGAAAGATATGAGTACAAATGCACAAATAAGAGATGCCGGCTGTATTGATTTAGTACGGGTACTGATTGAGCTAGAACTTCCTTAGGTTAATCCTAAAAGTTTAAGCTAAATTCTATCGATTATCCCAAGGGTTGCTCTTAGATTAGCCGATTAAATAATCTATCTTTCTTAGAAATCAGTTACGAATGAGTTTGTTCAATGAAGATATATCGTCACGATACAAAATGTATAATCAATCAGCTACTTGATATTTATTGTTTGGTTGGATGATCAACCTTGACATACATAAAGCATATTTCATTTTCTTTTTTCTTTCTTTTGTTTCTGTTTTCTTCTCCTTTTTCTCTTTCATAACTATTTATGGTTAAATATTTTATCAAATCGAAGTCATTATATGATTTCGATGAAACAAATCAAGTCTTAGTTTAATGGAGAAATTATTTGTGAAAGTCAACCCCACACCCACATCCTTCATTTCTGAATTCTGAGTTTTTATGACTTTGTGCATTCGAGAGTTTTTTTCTGAATTTCAAAGTTTTGAACGTTTTATCCTTCAGATTTTGATTTTGCAAATTTGTACCTTTAGATCTTTTTTCTTCGAGATTTTACTCTTCTAAGTTTTGTCTGTGAAACAATTAAGACTAATTCGGTGTTCGTGTGTTTTCGATGACCTTGAAAAACATGCATTTTTCGTTTCAGCATCAGGTACTTCATTCTTCTGATTTCGTTTATCATTTTTTTTGTGAAAATGCCATCCAAATAATGTAATTAAATTATTTTATCTTAAATTTTTTATATTTTGTAGCATCAACATATTGTACATGATAGTCGCAATAAGTAACATAAGTCAGTAAATGATACGTGAACCACCTGCCATCACATCGACACATTTTTGCGTTCTCTTGTTTATTTATTACAAAGAAGAACAAGATTCTCAAACAAGGTAGCAACGACAATTGTTCTGATTGTCGGGCATTGCTTATTATTTCATTTTTCTGTGCTGTTTCTTTCACTTGCTACAATTTCGACGTGTAAGGATATACATAATCTGTCATGTCTCTTTTATAATAATTAAAGCATAACTTCGTTGAGTGATCCATAATAATAAATGGTGGAAAGCAACCATAGTAATAAACAAACGTGCCACGTTTGAAACTTCCAGCTATCTGGTTTGATCTCAGTCTTAATGCGAAAGTTCTTTGTGGGTGTGAATGTAAAAGAATGAAATGAAATCCACATCCACAGAATGGTATTTCGCATTAATCAGTTGAAAAGTATTTGGATCTCGTAGATATTTTAATAGATTCTGATAGAAAAAAACCGTCTGCGCGGAATGAGTCCACACTTTCGTCGAATATAAATACGATTGTTATAGATTTTCAGATCAAAAGCTGATTTTTAGGTTTCTCAGAAAGTACTTCAGATGTTTGTTATTGTTCGTTTAATAATTTAAATATGATATTAGGAATCAGCACATTGAGCTCTATCAAACCGTGAAGACTTCTAAAAGAAAGACGAAAAAAAATTTTCTTTCGATACTGGAGAACTCCAAGTATAAAAAAAATTGAATTCCAATGAAGTGCCCAATTAATTCGCGACAAATAATCAGAAATTAGAGCCAGTTCTCAGGATAATAAAGTTGGACTCAGATTTGTTTGAGATGTTAATTCCATAATTTGACACACTTCTTTTGTATCTTTCAAAAACTATTCAAAAATGAAAATAAAATAATTCACATAGTATTTAATAATTGTCTATTACTCAGTTGCATTCTGATGCTATTTTTACTTTCGTTCGCTTTCTTTTCTTTATAGAACACGTCAAGAAATTCAGCTCTCTCTTATACAACAACAAAAATAAAACGAAATTTCGGCGACTTTCTTTCCATTTATTAACAAAGCAAATGAGAGTGTTATCCTTAATTATAATCAAACTAAAGAACCTAATTGTATTGGAACATAATCAAAATCAAAATCGATTGGAAGGGAGATCAGTTGATTCTTTACAATTCTAACTGTTGCGTATATTGTTCAATTTCTACCAGAATTTGAACAGTAAAATACGAAACGATAGTTAGATTTGTCGCATTTCCAAAGAATTCGACTATCATGAAAATTCCACAACAATTTGTTGAAATTCAGATAAAATTTCAAAAAACTCCGAAATAATACTAGAGGCATACAATTGATAGAATTACAGAGATTCGTAATGCACTGTATTTTTCTTATATAATGCAATTAGAAGCAGACATTTTTACTATTTAATCAGTCGTAGAATCATGATTAAATACAGTTTTGAACAAGTTTGAATGAAAAAGAAGGATAACTTTTTGTATGTTCTATATTTATCGTTCCATCTATTGCCTTATGGCATATTTGAATGTACTTTTTTCAGGTTAAGATTTCATTAGAATGCACTTTTTACTCTCCTTGAAATGCATGATTTACGACACACTGAATTTCTATGTAAACAAAAAATAGTAGTGAAAGGACGATAAAATAAATTCACTTGCCAATGTGAATTCATAGGGATGGATTCTTTTTGAATCGATTATAATGACACTATTCTAGTCTACTTTTAAACAGATTTATCAACCTGAAGGACAGAGTTCGTTTGATTTTAATTAGTCTTAAATAATTTGAATTGGGTTTAGTTAATTTTAATCGAAGTAAATCAAATTAAAAAACATATCCATGTCAATCGATTAAACGTAACTGATTGTTTCAAAATTGATTTTAGGGATACACCAACACCAGTATTATACTTATCTTCTCGTGATCGAAAATACTGGTACCACTAGAACTGGTAATAATGGTTCATCAGTATACTAATTACCATTTCAAAAAAAGATAGGTGAGTATTTTCAAACAACTTTTGATAGAAACAAGCCAGAAAGTTGCAATTTTCCTCATTGCAAAGAAGCTTATTTGTCGCATCGATTAATATAAAATTCTTCGGATTTATTTCAAGAATAAGTAGTGATCCGTAATCTCCTTCAAGGATTAGGTTGTTGCTCCATGAAGATAGAACAAATGTTAAATTTCAAGGGGTGGATTACAATTGCCGGTTGTCATGCTATAAATCTACGCAAAGCAGAAACTTCTATCTCAAGCCTTTTAGAACTTATGAGTCAAACACTAAATGCATTTGACCACTTTTTTTGCCAATGTCACCGTGCGCAAGGTATTTTGCAAATTATTATTAACTAGAGAAAACCTGTGCCTACTTCACGGCAGCTTTATTTTCTTTAACGTACGATCTGAAATGTATAACCGTTCACTCAATAATAGATACACAGACACTCAGTATTATGTAAATAGAAGCCCTACAATGCGATATTCTTATACTGCTAATAGCTCATGTAGCATTACGGCTTCATAGTCTTATGATTCTTGTAGCCTTACTTCTTTATAAGCTTACTCCCTTATCGCCTTACCTTCTTATAGCATTCGCCTCCTATAACATTCTTCCGTATAGTCTTATTCTCTTATAGCTGTACTTCCTTATATAACATTTTCCTCTTATAGCTGTACTTCCTTATATAACATTTTCCTCTTATAGCATTGCCCCTTTATTAGCTTACTTCTTTATAGTCTCACCTCTTTTTGCCATTTTCCAATATATCTTCACGATTACTTCACTCAAATATATCATCTATTGGGAAGCTAATTATCGAACATCACTCAAATTAAGGTTGTACGACGTTTGCGCGCAAAATGAGATAGTTTATTTTTACTGCGTTAACTTGAAACATCTTCTAAATTTTCATTAATTGTTCTATAGGTATAGATGCGGAATAGATGTGTGGGAGCGTATGGCCACGGGTGCGGAATGTTGACGCGCGGTGGTAGTTGGATAGTTCGCTAGAAATTCGAAACTGATGAACCGTTCGTTAAAGCGATCTAATCTGCTCGAACAGTTTAGCTCAGATTACATGAACGATTCAAAGACCGCTTCCAACCTAAGGTGAACTGTTCAAGTAGTTCAGCTCAAATGGAGACTTGATTCATGAAATCATCTAATGGACTTCGCCTTTTGAAAGAGACAAATTCTGCATGGAAAACCAGGGAGCTAACACCGACATCTGCAATGCTAGAGGCATCATCTGGATTTGTAGGGGTACTACTTTGGATGCTAGATGCATCACCTCGATGTTGGAGGTATCGCCGGGTTTGCTAGGGCGTAAGCTTAGATGCCACACGTATCACTTGGGTTATTAGCATCATTCCGGGTGATGCCAATAGCATCCCAGATAATGATACTACCATCCTGATGATCCATCTAGCATTCCAGTTATTCGTGTTAGCATATTAGTTTTCCAAAGAAAAATAGCCTTTGAGAACAGGTGAGATCCATGAGGTCGTTTCCTGAACCAGATGTCAACCAGTAGATATGGATGTGGAGCGAGGGTGTGGGTATGAGTTTTGCTCTGGATTGGGGTTTCAAGTGTGGTTTCTGAAATGGGTTTGAATGTTGAACTGTGGTTCTGGACAGCAGGATCTCTGTTCTCTTGATTCCGTTTCGATCCCACACCGAAACGTTGCAGCCAACAGTGTGAAAGTTAAAATGAGGCGAAACAATGATAACTTTATCCAACGTGTCGCGCGCGCAAATGTCGCGTCATGAAAATTAAAGTTGACATTCTTCTCACGTACATAACTGAGTGTAGGTGTGGATACTAATCCCTTCTTACGACATCCACAAATCTACACGCATTCCCACACCCCTGAAGGTGATCGCGAATCGCTGCTTACTTATGAAATAAATCTCAATAATTTTATATTAATCGATGTGGCGAATAAGCCACTTTCTGACGATGGAAATTGTAACTTTCAACCTTATTCCTATCAAAATTTATTAGGAAAAATACTCATCTGTCCTTTTTTCAAAATCGCCATTAGTACCCAGCAATACTGATGACTAGTATGTTCGTGTTGGTGCATACCTATTCGATTTTAATCTGATTTTTCGTCAAAAACGTTTTACATGGGTCTCGATATTGAATGTAATTATATCGGTCATTACTACAGAAATGTGATGCCCAAGGGCGATATACAAGACTGGTTTGTAAAGTTAAAAGTAGCCCGTGTACAAGCAGTTAATGTGCCTAATACATTATAATTTGCGATAAATTATGCTGCACATTAAATTACGAAAATAAATGCAAAATGTATCACATTTTTTTACGACACAAGCGATAGTTTCTTGAAAAATCGCTCAAGCCTAGATGCTCTAGATTTTACCTATTTATCGCATTTGAAAGTGGATGAATTTCTGTTTTTTCACTGATTTGAAATAGACTTTACTTTTATTCTTGACATCCGTGTCTCGATACTCCAGCAAAAGAAAACAACATCAAAAGATGTCGCAGTAATGTCAAATTTATGAGTTGAACGAATTAGTGAAGACCTATTCAAATACTTAATTATTGCATAGTTGAAGTAAAAATATTTAGATATTGAAATATTGCTTCTGCCCTTACTCTCACCATCAAGGAAGAGGTCATGTGCGAATATGTCTATGGATTCCTCTCTTTCATCCCTATGGAAGAGAGGATGTGTACCATTCCCATCCTCACCGAAAGCAACGATTGAATGTCAGCATATCTTTACTTCAAATATTCAATAATTGAATTCAACTCTCTTGTTTAATATGTATGAGATCTTATGAGTCAGAAGACGTTTGCGCTTTACGGATGTGTTTATCCTGTGAGCTTCATATCTTCATATTTAGTAAAGTTAGGAAGCTAAAATTTTCGAAAAATGTGAAGCATATTAATAAGTAGCTATAATAAATACCTCATGAAGATTGATTAGGGGTATCTGATTTTATTTTAATTTTACGCTTGCAAATTCAAGCAGTATAAAGAACATACGACTGACCCATATTTTGTAAGAAAATGGAACTTAAACTCTATCAATCTGGATATGCTACATACTTTTTCCAATTTGTCCAATAGAACTATATGTTACCGCGAACATATTCTTACCTTTTGAACTGAATTTGTAAATTTATTTCTGAATCTTTCAACCACAATTCTAGCTAATAATAGATATATCTTATCTGCTCCTGCTCGTTTTACTCAGCAAAATGCATACTATTAAATTTGTTGATAAAGATTGTTTGTATTTTCAGAAGAAACGAATCTATCATTATATATACTCCAATTGTGATTCTGCTGATCTTGGAGAGATTTATTACAGAAGAATATGCGTTAGTATAAAATCTATGTAGTTTCCATTATGTGGCAGAAGATATTTGTTGGATTAACTCGCTATTTTGACTTTTCTCGATTGTACAAGAAATATTATGCACATACGATCGGCTTAATAAGTCTCTTCATCATTTTTCAATATCGCCTAGGTCTTTTTTTCACAAGTGATAAATTAGATTTGCAACTGATTAAAATAACAGAGACGGATTCATATTCATCAGCATCTATAGTCTACCAATACGGGCCGAGAATACTCAGCAAACGTTGTAGTTACTCCCATTCAACGGCATGTGGAAGAAATTCTTGTTTAAATAACAATGTGGTATACACAGATGAGTTAATCAATTTGATTAGCTTAGTACTACAATCTCACTCTCTAATGTATTGTCCTGTTCCAAAAGTAGCTACAAAAACTATTCTTACTGTTATGCTTTATATGCATGTGCGTGACATCAACGAACATCTCAATACTAATTGGACAAATATTGATGTTTTTAGAGCTCAAATGGAACAAATGATCAATATTTCTGGTTTCATTCAGGATCTTCGACAGGTATAACGAAGAAATATTGATGCTAATTGAAGGATCATCTAATCTTTTATTTGAATGTTTCACTTTAGAATGGAATTACAATTCCAAAAACAGAAGAACCGAAATCTTTGACAACGTTTCTTCGTATGTATCTTGATATCCTTCAATTCGGCAATATCAATGCGACATCCTCTTCTCCACCTCTTAATCCTTGGAGACTCAGTTTCACATTCGCATTTCCATATCTTCGTCTCAATAGTCTTTTCAATCTATCTCAAATATTCTCTCCATCTTTCACTCGAGCGATTTTCGTTCGTCATCCATTTGAACGCCTTGCATCAGCTTACAAAGAGAGAATTGCAACGCTCAAGAAAGATAGAATTCAGCCAGAGCCCGAATATGATACCATACGCGAAACGATCTGTCATTGGCGTAAGCTGTCCATTAAACTTCATCAGCCTATAAACGAAAGTGATTCATGCATGGAAACTATTCCTTCATTTGAAGATTTTATTCGATATATTCTTATTGGTACTCATATACCTGGTAGAATTGCTAAAATGAACTATCATTGGCAGCCCTATTCGGTGCTATGTCAAGTCTGTAAATTCAAATATAACTTTATTGGTAAATATGAAACGTTTAATGATCATTTCACCTATTTTCTCAAACTTTTCAACATATCTGATTGGAATATTCAACAACGAAATGGTGCATCAGGTCTCACTACATGGGATTATCAGAAGTTTTATTCAACTTTGCCAGATGAGCTTATCTGTGAGCTCATACGTATCTATGAGGAGGATTTTCGTCTATTTAACTATCGAGTAGATGACTATATTAATCGAACCACATTGATACAAAACTGTAAGCGTTTAAGAACGCTCTAACCGATCTCGATCGACTGGCTAAAGTTTCAGATTGATTCAATTCGATCGATCGCCGACTGATTCACAAAATTTTTTAAACAAGTATAAACTGACCATTTTAGTGAATAATTATTCATTGATTAAAAGTATTGGTTTCAAATACTTTTTCTTTCTTGTATATAAAATTTTATGAATATTGACAAAGAAAGACCATACTATGCTTTGCCAAGTATATAAGCTATGCAAAAACAGAATGTGTAACATTTCTTTACTATTAAAGTAAAAGTCATTCTTCGAAATGTAGTTCCTCAACTTACATTGTTAATTTACGTGCGGTTGTGAATCAAGGCTGCCAGTAGGTCACTTGTTTTTAGATTGATCTACTATATTATTTTCATTCCAGAAAAGCATACAAAATATCCATGAAACTGTTTTTTCTCAGTTTCAACTTTTGTTCAGCGTTCCTAATAGAATTCAAAGACAAAATGTATTCGTATACTCTGCTTATCTGTGTATGCTTAACTTTCGCAAACAAACGACATCTCAGCTTACAGATTATATTTTGTAATATAAAATAGCAGAATCAGTGTGTGGATGTGGGTGTGAGTTAAGGCACAGCTGACAGCCACACTCACGGCGCCCCCACATCCACACGCGCAGACACATTCACACCCACACCCACCCACCCATGAACACTTTCCTTTGCATCGTGACCTTTTTGACTAGCACTGGCCTTCTGTCACTATCCATGTTCTTTTATATGTGACCGCTTCTTCTAATATATAAGATATGTTCAATAAAGGGAAAGGAACAGTTGTGAGTGTGCAAATGACATAAGAAACTATTGTGTCAAAAGACATAGACAGTCACACTCTCCTCTTTATTGTTTTCACTGGATACATTAATTATATGAAGGTACTCGTTTCTGCATAGTTTTAAATACTTTTTCTTCCAAGAAATATATAAGTGTATATTTTTTTTTTTTGTGAAATTGAATGCACAAAAATAGTTTTCACAGTTGAATTATTCTAAACCGTAAAAATGTCTATGATACGAAATTTTCACAGTTTTAATTTTATGCATAGGAGATAAAACTTTGATGCGTATAGGAGTAACCAAAATAGTATACAATGGACTAGTATTGTATATTTTGAAAAGTAAGTGTTGATCTGTCGTATAAGTAGAATTGTTGTTTCTTTATTTATTCTGACTTAGAGCACCATCTGATATTCTTTTCATTGGTTCATTTTCATTGGTTTTACGTTGCCTTTATTTGCATTCGAAAAAGACAATTGATTTATTAATTTCGATTCTGACTCTATAACATTATCTACGATAGTAAAGTACCTCATTAATAGTTTTACTTTGGACCATCATTGATTTTTTTGGAAATACTTGGTTAATCACTTAAGGAAAAGTAAGAATAGCCTCCGTACGGACACGATACTGTGGTCTGCTTTCTAATACCTGGAAAACAATTTAGAATGACTTTGTTTATATCTGTTTAGGTGTTTAAAAGCATCAGAGGCAATTCTTTCTGGCTAATAGATCTATTTATCATTTAATTGGCATAGACGTAGCATATTTGATTCCAAAAGGATAAATAAACGATAAAAAATACATGTATAGTAGTATCAAATTACGTTGCTATTGCAATGATAACGTCAGTCATCCTTTTCGTTTCAATAGATAAGTTTACTATGAAGAAAACACAATCAAAATAGAACAGACAAATGTATAACCTGTTCATATGCAGATCAAATCCTTAGTGCAGAAAGTTCTCAGTAACATTTTCGAGTGTCTTACTTTAGTAAAGCCATAGTCGATGGTTGCTATGTGATTGTTTCATCTTGTGATATAGCGAAATAATTTTTCTATTCTAGAATCTATATGTTTTTTTTTAAGATTAATGTTATGTGATGGTTCATTCTCAATTCGATCAGTTACCTATCTTGGTTTTACATACTCTTTTTACCTATTTATTAACTGAAGAGATTTTATTTTCATTATTGAATGTTAGTACTAGTCTCAATGATGCAATAAAATCTTATTCTAACTATCGACTGAATTTTAAATCGATTCTTCGATCTAGTTTTGATCTTATTTGTCAACATATTTTACCTAATTAAGTTAAAGCTTTAATATTATCAGATGATCAATATACACCTGGTCAATCTCAACTCTTTTTATCTCATTTTCAAATTGATGAATTTATTAATCTTCAATCTCTAACATTGATTGAAATCGAAAGGAAATCATTAGAAATTATCAATGAACATTTATATAAACTCAATCGTT